GTCAGGGCACATGCCCGGGTTGCGGGCTTGATCCCCAGTTGGGGGCGTGCAGGAGGCAGCCGATCAGTGACTCTCTCATCATTGATGTTTCTCTCTCTCTCTCCCCCTCTCCTTTCCTCTCTCTGAAATCAAAGATATATTAAAAAAAAAAAAAAAAAAAAAAGGATATACTTAATATATCTTTTAAGTTAATAGGAGTAAAAAAGCCACAAATTTAAAAATTATACTGTCTTTTATATTTACCTATCTAGTTACCTTTATCATACACTTTATTTGTTCAGGTGGGTTTGAGTTACTATCTATTGTTCTTTTATTTCATCATGAAGGACACCCTGTTGTATTTCTTGTACATCAGGTCTGCTAGCAACCAGTTATCTTATTTTTGGTTATATGTGAATGTCTTAATTTCTCCTTTATTTTTGAAAAGTAGTTATGGATACCTGGTTGACGGTGTTGTTTTTTTTCTTCAGTATTTTGAATATGTCTTCCCATTGCCTTCTGGCCCCCATGGTTTCTGATGAGAAATTAATTATATTTAGGATCTCTACATGTGACAAGCTGTTGTATCTCTTGGCTTCTTTCAGGATTCTTCTTTTGTTTTTTGACAGTTGATTATGGTGTGTCCAGGTGTGGGTCTCTTTGAGTTTATCCTCCTCATAGTTGCTTGAGGTTTTTTTGGTGTTTAGATTAATGTTTTTTTATTAAATTTGGGGGAATTTTTAGTCATTTATTCAACTATTTTTTGCCTCTCTCTTTCATTATGTGTATGTTTTGATATGTTTAATGGTGTCTTTCAGGTACCTTTTTTTCCCTCATTTGTTTTTCTTTCTGTTTCTCAGAGTGGATAATGTCAATTGATCTATCTTCAAATTCTCTGATTCTTTTTTGCCTGTTCAAGTCTGCTGCTTAAACCTTCTAGTGAATTTTTCATTTTAGTTATTACACTTTTCAACTCCAGAATTTCTATTTTGTTCTTTTTCATGATTTCTCTTTATTGTTATTTTCTATTTGTTAGACATTCATCTCGTACTTTCCTTTATTTATTTATTTATTTTTTAAATATATCTTTATTGATTTCTGAGAGAGGAAAGGAGAGGGAGAGAGAGAGAGAGAGAGAGAGAGAGAGAAACCTCAATGATGAGAGTCATTGATCGGCTGCCTCCTGCACACCCCCAACTGGGGATTGAGCCCGTAACCCAGCATGTGCCCTGACCAGGAATCGAACCCCGGTCGCCTGGATCCTAGGTCAACGCTGAACTGCTGAGCCATGCCTGGCCAGGCTCATACTTTCCTTTAGTTCTTTAGACATGAATTTCCTTTAGTTCTTTTAACATGTTTAAAATAGCTGATTTTAAAACTTTGTCTAGTGAGTTCAATGTCTGGTTTCCTTGGGGACAATTTCTATTGACAGCTCTTTTTTCTTGAGTATGAACCATACTTTTTTTAATGTCTTCTCACATTTTGTTGAAAACTGTACATATAAAACAGTGTGGCAGCCCTGACAATCAGATATTCTCCCCTCCCCAGTGTTTGTCATGGTTAGTTTGTTGTTACTTTAGTGTTTTTTCTGAATTCTGTATATCTCTATTCTTTGTTGTGCGTGGCCCCTGCAGTCTCTCTACTCTGGTAGCTTAGTGGTCAGCTAATGATTGGACAGAGGTTTCCTGAAATGCCTGGGACCAGTAAGTCTCCCAGCCTTTGTTGAGCAGTTCTGTGTGTGCTGCTCAACACACACACGATTTCAGCACTCAGCCAGGAAGTTTGTAACTGTGCCTTACCCTTTACTTCCTGTTTGTGCAGAGCTTCTAGGTTAGCCAGAGGTATGCAGTTAAAGCCTTCTTAGGTCTTTCTTGAGCATATGCACAGCCCTGGGCATGTGCAGAGACCTGTGCATACATGTGACTCATCTAGATTCTCAGGTATATGTTGGAGCTTTTCTAAGTCCTCAGTTTTTCTTTTTACATTTTTTGGTTAGCTTATTATTTGTCTCAACTGTTATCCACTGCCTTGGTCAGCCACAATATTAAACAATTGCCTCTGATTGTTTTTGACAGACTTTTTGCACTGGTTGAGCTCTGCATCCAGTCAGATTATAATAGTTTTGGGAGTGGGGTCTTCCAGGATGCCACTGAATTTGTCAAATAATGACAATCCTTGGGAAATGGAGTAGTGAAAGAGCTTCCACCTTCTTCTGCCCACCTTAGGTATGATGTTATCTGTGGGTTTTTCACACATAGCTTTGATTATGTTGATGTAGTTTTCTTCTATTCTTAATTTGTTGAGTCTCTCTATTGTGCTTTTTCAGCATCAATTGAGATGATTGTGATTTCTTTCCTTTATTCTGTTAACCTGGTGTATTATATTGAACCATGCTTGCATTCTAGGAGTAAATCCAACTTGATCGTTTTTGGTATAATTCTTTTAGTGTGCTTTTGAACTTGGTTTGCTGAGGATTTTTTTTGAGGATTTTTTTCTCAATATTCACCAGTCATATTGGATTAGGGCCCACATTTATGATCTTGTTGAACCTCAGTTATTGCCTTAAAGGCCCTATCTCCAAATATACAGTCACATCGGTGTTAGGGCTTCACCATATGAATTTTATAGGGACACAGTTCAGTCCATAACACCTTTTATGTAGTCCTTCTAAGTTATTTCCTAGAGAACCTACCATCTGCAGTATATTAGTTTCCCATGGCTGTTCTAACATTACCACCAACTAGATGGCTTAAAACAATAGAAACTTATTTTCTCATAGTTCTGAAAGCCAGAAGTTTGAAATAAATTATCATTGGACAGAAATTAAGGTGTCAGCAGGATTGTTCTCTCTCTGAAGGCTCTAGGAGAGAATCTGTCCCTTGCCTCTTTCCAATTCTGGCAGCTGCTGGCATTCCTGGCTGTGGCTGCAGTTTTTAAGGCCAGTGTTTTCAAATCTCTCTGTGCTCTGTCTTCACCTTCTCTGTATGTAGTCAAATTTCCCTGTCTGCCTCTATAAGGAATTGTACTTAGGGCCCACCCAAATAATCCAAGATTGGCAAAGAACTTTTGGGAGGTTGTGGGGAGCATATAAGATAACATTCACAGGTTTCTTGGATTAAGATTTGGATATCTTTTGTGGGGCCATTTTTTAGCCTATCACAGTTTTATTGCTCTCACTTTCATTTATAGTTAGTTTGTAATAGGTCCTACCATCCGGTTCTGGGTGGGTAAAGGTTGGTGGCAATGGATGGCAGAGAGAAAATATTCTCATTTCTTCTAGACATTACACAGAAAACTAGGTCTGTGGTGTTCTCAGTATGTGGTCCTGGAAGTAGCAGCATCAACTTCACTTTAGGAACTTATTGGAAATGCAAACTATTAGGCTCCACTGTTATACTTCTCTAATCAGGAACTCTTGAGTGTGGGGCCTAGCAGTATGTGTATAACAAGCCTGGGTGATTCTGCAAACCACTTTTCTAGATTATGGACATTATTAGAATTAAAACCATATTTGTCTTCCTGTCCAGCTCTTTTTCTGCTTAAGGCCATTACTAAATTAGGATTTATAGCCCACAAACTTTGTATTCTGTAGATATGCAAGCATGATAACCAGTGAAATTAATTCACCCAGTAAAATAATTTGCTTGGCTTACTTTTGCAAGTTGTATTTGCACTGAAGCCATAGTTACTTCATGAAGTAACATGACTGAATCCAGAAGTGATGTGAATTTTCCTTTGAATTCTTTGAAAATGTGAATTCAATTCAGCCTGAATTTTACTTGTTTTTCTTCTATATTCCTATGCAACACAAAATTTCTGTAGTCTTTCATTTAGTCTACATTGTTATGCTTTTATAATGTGCCCATCCAGTGAAAGTGTGAAAATGAGATAAATGAATTCTTGTCCACATTGTAGTTCAGAAAATACACAAGTAAACAGATAGGGTTGATATAGAGCTGCCACTAGTTACTATAATTGAGAAACACAACTTAACATAGCTGAAGAAATTAAAGAAGGATCTGTCAGGGTGACTGAGCTAAATATTGAAAAACCAATAAAAAGGTGTTAGGAAATTTAAAGAGAGATGGAAGGTAGGTATAGTTCACCCTATGAAAAGGCATGAAAGCTGAGAGTATATGGGCTGTTCTAGGAGTTTAGGAAGTTTGGTATAGTAGAGTAAATGTGAGAGTGAAGATTAGGGATAGATTGAGATGAGGTCATTGGTGATACTATTGAAGGACTTGAAGCACATAGATGTGACATCTTCAAGATAAACATTGTAAAAGGGTTACTTGTACAGTTTCGGGAAGGATGAATTTGAGATGATAGTGAGTCTGGAGATAGAAAGTTATTGTAATCTAGATATGAAAGGCAATAGGTATATTAGTGCAGTTTTTTGAGGATAAGAATTCAGAAGAGTAACAAGCCTGTTTCAGGTAGGGGAAGGAGATGTTTAGAATTCAAAGTAGGACATACTGAGTTTTCAGAATTTATAGAATGTGATAAAATTAGAGGTAGGTAGATTTTTGACAAGTAAATTTTCAGTGGAGTGTTGGGGTGGAGGTTACATTATACTAGGTTGAAGATTAAATTGAGGAAGTAGGAGAGTATCAGTATATTCTATTCTCTGTAATAATGATTCCTGGCATTGATTTGTTTGCAAAGTGCTTAGTGTTAGCCATTATTATGGCTACTATTAGTATGTACTTTTATGCCATCTCATTCTGCATGGCATAAAAGTATATACTAACTTTTTGGCATATATTTTTTCGAATGTATTTTTTTAAATATATATATTTTTGATATGTACATAATTGTGTTGGGTAAACATTGATCTAGATAGAAGTATGTTTTATGAACAAATCCTGATTTTAATTATAGCTATTGCCATAATTATTATTAACTATTAAAGTTAATGAAAGCAAGTTTTGTAAAAATTTTTCGAAGAGAGCTAGAAAGTTTGTTTCTCATTTAATAGATTATTTTTTCTCAAAAAAGTGGTACTTAGCAAGTTTCATGAAGGTTAAAATAATCATGTCTTAGTTGAACAGTTTTTGGTATAGATGTCTTACAAAAAAAAGAATTGATTTGCAGTTTTTAATTTAAAAGCATTGTGTGTCATCGATGTACTTGTTCATACCTGAAGCAAAAAGCTAAATCATGGTTTTACTTGTATTCTTTCAGGTTTGATTTAATTTCGAATGAGATTGTTCTTGCAGCAAGATGTTAATAAGACAAAATCTAGGTAAGTAGAAGACTACTTTTTAAAATATTAACGTACCAAAGTAGGAATACAATTTTTAAAAAAAATTTACCTTCAAGTTCAAAATCAATGAGTTTTTAAGTAAAATTTTGAAATACGAAGAAATTGACTTTTTGATGCACTTGGTCCAGTTGATTTGGTGGGAGAAGAATACAGCTATCAAATTATGGAACTGAGTTCTTTACTCTTTTATGTTGAGTTTTATAACTTAGGTGTGCAGCTGCCAGTAACTATAAAACATGTTAGAAAATCAGATTCAATAAGGTTTGTTAGTGCGCTTCACTCCTCTCTTCTTGTGGATTATAATACTTGAATAGTCTTTGCTTTTGTGAATCTTGCTTTCTTATTTCATTAATGAAGCACTTCCACAAATTGCTTAAATTATCCAAATTGTGACTTTTTAATATGTTGAGAATTATAAATGAGTGTTTTAGTATTTTTCTTGTGGGTATCTCTGCTGAGTGGTTTTTCTAATTTAAGCATTCTCATTTGCTTTAATTTTTTTAAGACTGTTGACTTAGGAAAATTGAATTGTGGTCATGTACTTTTGGTCTTGTATGTGAAAGAATGCTTTTTAATAATATAATCTGTTGAAATGTTAAAAAATATACACTTACTAACTATTGGTTAGTGAACATGGCTTCAGGATATAAATAGAGTAAGAAAAATACTTTGGTAAAATTGCAGGAAACTTGATCTTTCTCTAATCTAACTTGATGGTTCAGCTGTCAGAAATTTGCTGATCTCAAAGGTAAAAAAAAAGCCTAGTATGAGAAGTGCTATAGTTTGAGTAATGTGCAGTTAAATATTGTATTCTCAATAAGTGGTTTAGGCATAACTTAAGCAATTTCCTTTTTATTGCTATTATGTAATAATAGTAATGGTAGTTTGAAAAATATTTATTGTCTCTATATTGTATTAAGTGTTTCTTGTGCCTTATTAATCTTTATACTACCTCCTATAAGGTACTGCTGTGTAGAAAATTTTCATTTTTTTTTTTTTTTTTTTTTTTTTATTTGGGGGG